AGACAGGAGAAGTGGCTGAACCCAGGAGGCAGAGGTTGCGGTTAGCCGAGATCGCGCCATTGCACTCCAGCCTGGGTAACAAGAGTGAAACTCCGTCTCAAAAAAAAAAAAAAAAAAGGAATCAAATCTTACAAAATCCTGAAAGATGTTCGTAACGCTGTTGATTTCAGCGAAATTAATTAAGTACTTACATTGATTTAAAAGTGTATTTTATTCAATAGTTTGAGTATCTTGCCATGGAAGATACTAGCCCAGCCTAGCAAAGGAGTGCAGTATGTCTAGCATACTTTGACATTTTAAAAGTTATATTCCAGCCGGGCGCGGTGGCTCAAGCCTGTAATCCCAGCACTTTGGGAGGCTGAGGCGGGTGGATCACGAGGTCAAGAGATCGAGACCATCCTGGTCAACATGGTGAAACCCCGTCTCTACTAAAAAAAAATACAAAAAAAAAAAGTTATATTCCATAAACACTGGAAGTGCTGGGCAAACTACATGAAGTTGTTTGCAATCAATTGACAGCTAATTGGCCAGTCGCAGTGGCTCACACCTGTAATCTCAGCACTTTGGGAGGCCGAGAAGGGCGGATCAGCCTGGCCAACATGGGGAAACCCCATCTCTCCTAAAAATACAGAAATTAGCCGGTGTGGTGGCGCGCGCCTGCAGTCCCAGCTACTCGGGAGACTGAGGCAGAAGAATCACTTGAACCCAGGAGGCGGAGGTTGCAGTGAGCCGAGATCTCGCCCCTGCACTCCAGCCTGGGCAACAGAGCGAGACTCTATCAACAGAAAGGGCAGAAAAAGAAAAGAGAAAAGCAAGGAAAGGGTACTCCCAGCAAAGGGCAAGACCCCACGGTCCGGGGGCCAGACGTGCGCCCCCAGGCTCTGCTGGCCTCTGAGTCCTGGAGACGACGATGAGGAAATCGGAGGGGAAAACAGAGCTGCGGACGGCGGGGCTGGGAAGAATGACACATCAGCCCTGCGCCCGCGGGACCCGGGCGGGGCCAGGGGACCCAGCAGGACGACAGACACGGCCAGCACAGGAAAACGGAGCAGGCAAAAGCCGCAGGCATCTGCCCAAGAAAACCTGGGTCCAGCCTCCATGCTGCTGATCACGATGCCACACGTGACCTACGTGCGTGCGTCGTGAGAAATAAGCCGAAATTCGAGGCGTCCCCAGGACCCACCGACCGCCTGCTCCCCGCCAGAGGCGGCGATGGCTGCTGGATCGAGGCCCAGGGCGCCGCCGTCGGACGCCCAAGGACAGGCGGGCAAAGGCAGGAGGCTCCAAGGGCACTGAACCCGCGCGCCCGCCCGCCCTGGGACCCCGCCAGCTCACCGTCCACGCGCAGCTCCAAGCGCGCGCTGGGCGCGGAGCCGCTGAAAGGTGGCTCCAGGTCCACGTACACGCAGCTGTAGTTGGCGGAGTCGATCACCGAAACGTTGCGCAGTTCGAAGTGGGCCTCGGTCCCTGCGGGGCTCTGGAAACTGTGCACGCGGCGCCCGCCCCTGTCCTCGCGCACCAGGGCGAAGCGCGCGCCCTCCAGGGGTGCCAGGCACCGCAGCCGTACGCGCGTGCCGGGCTCCGGGTTCGGAGTCGTGGGCTCCGCGGTGAACACCGGCGCCGGCAGCCTCTCTGCGGAGAGGACGAGGGCTGACCCGGGCGCCAGGCGGGTGGCTTGGCCCTAACGCGTGGTCCAGCCTCCCTCTCTTTGCCTTGGCTGAGTCTTCCGCCCGCAGGTGATCTGGCCAGCTTCCTCCCTCGCCTCCTCTGGACCCGCCCGCCTTTCCAGGCCTAGCCCTTCTTGGATATCTCACACGCACCTTTCACTGTTTCTTAGTCGTTTGTCTACAGAAACAGACGGGGACATGTTTTGTCCATGGCTTGATGCCTCGTGCACGATGTCGCTCAATAGGGGATTTGCTCCACGAGCGTATTCTGGGCACTGCCACAATGCCCGCGCCACCCAGGGGCACCCGTGATTCGCTGGGAATGGGATTCGCTGCCCGATGCTCACAGTTTGCTAAATATCATCAAGCCCAGGGCAAGCGAGTGGAGGAGCTGCCTCAGCAGAGGCCCTCAGTGCCCACCCAGACCTAGATCTGGCAGGCTGGGCGGGGGGACCGCAGCCAGGTTGTGCACCCTGTGGCCTGGGCCAGACCTGTTCACCCAGTTAGTCTTTGTGGGGCCTGAAGTTTGCCACGCTTGTCATCCCATTGGCAGTTCAGGACCCTGAGTTGGGGGATGGGCAGGTAAAGCTGAGACAGGACCCCTGGCCCAGAGCACTGCACTTCCCCAACTCTACACCTGGTCCTGCTCCTGCTTCCCAGGGACCCCGCCAAGCCCCTGTCACGGCCAGCCCAGGCTCACCATTGCTCACAATCAGCTCCACCGGCTCACTGTCCCCAGACCAGCCATTCTGGTTGTCACGGAGCTGGTAGCGGCAGGTGTAGGGACCTCCATCCCCCAGGGCCACCTCGTTTAGGTGAAAGAATATGCGGTCTGGGCTGGTGCTGCTCTGGGGTACCAGCAGCTCTTTCTCCCCGCGCCGCAGCTGGAACTGCACTCCACTCAGGGGAGCCACGCAGGTGAAGGTCACCTTGCTGCCAGGGCGCAGGACCTGGGTGGACTCTCTGTGCAGCCTCAGCGCAGGTGGTGGTGGTGCAGCTGCAATGTAGGCAGCATTACTGAGCTACCCCACCCCTGGAGCTACCCTCTGCCCAGGCCCAGACCTCTGCCCTCTGCCCTCCAGATGGCAGCCCCAGGAACACCCTTCGATTCTTTTTTGTGTTTGTTTGCTGTTTTTTTGAAATGGACTCTCACTCTGTAACCCAGGCTAGAGTGCAGTGGTGTGATCTTGGCTCACTGCAACCTCTGCCTCCAGAGTTCAAGCGATTCTCCTGTCTCAGCCTCCTGAGCAGCTGGGATTACAGGTGCGTGCCACCATACCCAGCTAATTTTTGTATTTTAAGTAGAGACAGGGTTTCACTACATTGGCCACGATGGTCTCGATCTTTTGACCTTGTGATCTGCCCACCTCAGCCTCCCAAAGAGTTGGGATCACTGGCGTGAGCCACTGCACGTGGCCCACCCTTCCATTCTTTGGGCATCCTCTGCCCAAATTCCTTTGCAACCATCGGACACAAGCAACTGTATGGCCAGCTTCACAGCCTGGTCCTGAGTAGGGGCATTCAGCACGGAGGTCAGGGTGAATGTGGCTGTGTCCCCTGCAGCCTCCTCCCCCAGCAGCCCTCAGAGATGCTTCCCCAGTCACCGAGCTCCTTAATGGTCACAGTATTGCTGGGCTCCGAGGGGGCGCCTGCCGCATGAGTCTGGTAGCTGCAGCTGTAGTTGCCAGCCCGGTGGACAGGAAAGGTGGCCTCCACATCCTCCTGGGCCTCAGACATCTCCAGAAACTCATGGTCGCCTTCCTGCCTCAGCAGAAAAGTCACACCCCGCAGCCCGCCTCGGCACACCGCTGTTGTGTTCAGGCCAGGTGTGATCCAGGACACTGGCTTCACTGAGAGCCAGGGTGGAGGCAAGGACTCTGTGGGTGGAGTGGAGTTGACGAGTGGTTCTGCATGGCTCGGGAGACATGGGAAACCAGCAGAACCTGCGCCCCACACTCATGACAATGTGAGGGAGACAGGGATGGAGGGCACTGACGGGAAAAGGGAGGCAGGCACCGGTGGAAACAAGGCATACAGCAAGAGGAAGGAGCGCGTGGGGGCCTCATGGCCTGGGGGCCTGCCGGGGACACCATCATTCATTCCTCGCAACACTGGGGTTAGCACAGACGTCATCCCCATTTGACAGCTGGAATGCAGGCTCAAAGACATCAGATGTCTTGGAGGAAGGGGAGTCCCCCCACTCAGCCACCTGCCCACTGCCTCCTGACCCCGATTCATGCCCCAGCTCACCTGGTCCTGTCAGCTCCAGGAGCTCGCTCAGCTGGGTCCATCCTTCGAAGAGGCCTGAGCGGCAGCGGTAGCGACCCCAGGTGTCACCCGTCAGCAGGAACTGATGCTTGATGGCAGGTGCATCAAGGTGCACAGTCTCCTGGGCCACCCCGTTCTTGAACAGCTGGAAGTCTGCGGTCCTCACACGGGCCTGGCATGTCAGCGTTACCTCAGCCGAGGGTTCCAGCAGCGATTCGGACTCTGCCCACAGGTGGGGCTGGGTCTCAAGAACTGCAAGGGGTGGCTGGGATCAGCTCAGTGCCACGGGGACAGGGCTCACCCACGGCCTGGGCCCACCATCCCCAGACCCCAGCCCTGCACTCACATGTGGCTGCTTCTGTCACCGGGCCCAGGGAAAGACCTGCGGAGACAGCCCCTGTGAGTCTCCCGTTCCCACTCCTTCCAACCCCAGGAACCCAGGCCCCAGGAGGCCTCACCCCAGAGCAAGAGGAAGGCCACCAACATGGACATGATGGTCACACTCACTCCCGTGCAGTGAGTGTCTGGGGTGAGAGTCTGCAGCAACAAGGCCCCGAGGGAGGGCGGCGGGGGCGGCTCAGGCACTGACCTCTTTCTGTGTTTGTCCTTCCCGGAAGGCAGGCACAGGGCCAGCATGGGGTGGGGGCAAAGGCTGAACTTCTGAGGCCTCAGGATCCTAAGCAACAATTAGGATCAATAATCATGGATAATTCATAAACTAAATCAATAACGAGTGAGAAAATGATGCTAAGATAACGTCGTCATTTCAGTGCTGGATCCTTTTCTAGAAGCGGACGCTGAGTTCTCCTCACTCTGCCTGGAGCTGCTGAGGTCAGTGCACCCTGCCAGGGCTGAAGTCCAGCGTGACCCCTCCCTGTCACACCACACCACACCACACGTGTGACACCACAGGTGGGGTTCACCTGTGTTCAGACATTCCGCGGCTGCCATCGCATGGGCTGTCTGGAGGTGCACCCTCACTCTACCTGGGTACTGTGGTTTCTTCTCCATTGCTGGTTTACTCTGCATGGCGTGACCCACCACGGCTCTGGAGTCAGATTTCCAACCAGGACATTCAGCCGAGATCTGCTGTTCCCATGCCTACCGGTGACGTGTGCTCAGTTACCTGAGCTGCTGGTGCTCACTCATGGGGCTACAGCCTGCTGCCAGGAGGCCAGGCCTCCCCCTTCCCCTGCCTCCCTCTCTCTCTTGCCACAGCCTGTTCAGATGGAACAGGACATGGGTGAGACCATGGCGCTCTCACACTCAACCTCTGTGGAAGTCGTCATTCTCACCCCTGGAGGTCTGGTTCCCACCCTGGGTGTCCCAGCCTAGCTCTGCTACTAGGGTGACTGCTCAGGGAAACCACCCAGCCCTCACCTAACCCCTGCACTGTATCTTCCCCACTCATTTCTTTTTTTTTTTTTTTTTTTTGAGACGGAGTTTCGCTCTTGTTACCCAGGCTGGAGTGCAATGGCGCAATCTCGGCTCACCGCAACCTCCACCTCCTGGGTTCAGGCAATTCTCCTGCCTCAGCCTCCTGAGTAGCTGGGATTACAGGCACACGCCACCACGCCCAGCTAATTTTTTTTGTATTTTTAGTAGAGACGGGGTTTCACCATGTTGACCAGGATGGTCTCGTTCTCTTGACCTCGTGATCCACCCGCCTCAACCTCCCAAAGTGCTGGGATTACAGGCTTGAGCCACTGAGCCCGGCCATCTTCCCCACTCATTTATTCCACAAGCATGTAAGCATCTACTGTGTGCCAGAGGCAAAGAAGACAGTGGGATAACTGGGCAAGGAGCATTCCAGGCAGAGGGAGCAGCCAGTGCAAAGATGGGAAATGGGGTTGCAATGAGAAGGAGCAGAGGAGACAAGGGGTAGGGATAGCTGCAGAGCTCAGGGACGTGATGGTGACCAGTCATGCTGGGCAGTGCAAGGGCTCTGGCTTCTGCTGTGAGGGATAGGGAACTGGGGAGACTCCTGGTGTCTGGTTTCATTTCCATATTGCTGAGCACCTGCTGCATGCTCTCTCCTGCTCAGAGCCAGCACCTGGAGAGGCTGTGTGTTCTGGCTGGGCTTGGGGAGAATGCATTCTCTGCAGAGGAGACAACCAGGTGCTGAGGCCTGAAGTCATAACCAGGCCTGGGGCACTCAGACAAGGACTGGTGGCCAGGCCAGAGGAGCAGAGCTCGGGGTGTGCACAGAACTGAACCTTGAACAGTGACTGAACCTTTGAACAGTGACTGAACCTTTCAGCCCACTGGCAGTAGGGCTGCCCAGGCAGCCGGTGGCATGGTCAAATCTGAGGTCTGCAGAGGTGGAGCTGTCCGTCTGAGTGTTTCCCAACACCAGCCTCACTGTACCCTCCTTTTAGCTCCCTTGGGTTCTCCAGCCCTAAGGGTGGTAGCAGCTTCCTCTGAGTTTCTGCAACATCACAGCAACATCCAGTTTTGCTGTCTGAGCCTTGTAAAACTTGCACAACCAGTCCCTAACTTATATCCCCTCTGTTTGAAAAAGCTAGTGTGGTTTCTGTTTCCTTACTGGACTCTCACTGGTATAGTACTTGGTATCAAGAAGAGTCCCTGGCCAGGTGCAGTGGCTCACGCCTGTAATCCCAATACTTTGGGAGGCTGAGGCAGGAGGAACACATGAGACCAGGAGTTCTAGACCAGCCTGGACAACATGGTGAGACACTGTATCTAAATAAAAAAAATTTAAATTAGCCACGTGTGGTGGCACAAGTCTGTAGTCCCAGTTTCTCAGGAGGTTGAGGTGGGAGGATCACTTGAGCCTAAGAAGTCGAGGCTGCAATAAGCTGTGATTGCAATACTGCACTCCAGTTTGGACTACAGAGTGAAACGCTGCCCCCTCCCCCAAAAAAGAAAAGTCCCATGAAACATATGTACAAAGGTGAGATTCTGGGATTGATTTGATTCTGACCTTGGTCAGGAATGCAGTGCTGAACTTCTTGCCTACAGAATATGAAACACTAGGAAGCCACAGCATGCAGATGCATCGTGTTTGACCATCACCTGTGGTTACTTGACATGAAGTGTCAACTGAAGCCAGCACCTTGGGAGACACAGTGGCCACTGCACTGCGCAGCTGTGTCTCTCCCGTATCCCCTCAGGCTCCAGCAACCACCATGGTTCAGCCTTTAGAGGCCAAGCCCCCTTTCCCAGCTCCTAGGATCTGGTAAGGCCACCTCTTCATTGCGTCCCCAGATCGAGGTGGGCCACATCACAGACTCCATCGCTGCGCAGGTCCACGTGCAGGGACTTGCTTGCCCTCCCAGCAGAGAAGAGCCATGTGGCGCCAACCAGAGGCCTGTGGAAGTCAAGCTGGGTCCAGAAACAGCCTGCGGTGTTTCTAGGCGGACAGATTTATCCTTTAAAACGAATCCGAGGCCGGGCAGGGGCGCGGTGGCTCACGCCTGTAATCCCAGCACTTTGAGAGGCCGAGGCGGGCAGATCATGAAGTCAGAAGATCCAGACCATCCTGGCCAACATCTTGGGACCCTGTCTCTATAAAAAAAATAAAAATAAAAAATAAAACGCATCCCAGCCACAATGGTAGAGAGAACCGCAGCGGGTGGGGGTGAGGGAAGCCGCTCAGCGCTGTGGACAAGAGTCCTGCCCCTCCCTCCGGCCTAGGCCTCCTGCTACCCTCTAGGCCTCCGACCTCGTAGCCCTTGGCCGGAGACAGAAACCCGTTTACAACCTCTATTCTCGCTCACAGCTCGGAAGGGAAGGAGGGGAGGGGACTCACACTCTGCCGCTGTTCCCCACTGGGGCCCAGATCTCCATTTCGCGCAGTTCCCAGAGGAGACCACCACACCTGTTAGAGACGCCAGTTCTCCCCCATCTCTGCAAGGACGAACCTCTGCCAGAAGCAGAGCTTGCTGCCTCCACCCTCTGGATCCGTCTCTGGGGTCAAGAGCCCCCCACACATGTCCCCAGCCAGGCCTGGGTGTCCCGCGGGGACACCTGCAAAGGGACTGTGCAGCCACGGTCCTCCACGCCCAGCAGGACGGCGTCCGCAGCGGCAGCCCGCAGAGGCAGGGCCAGCAGATCGCGCCCTCGGGCCCGGGACCCCGCAGCGCCGCGCGTCCGCGACCTCCCGCTCAGGCGCGTCCTCGGGTCAGGGCGCAGCGGGGCCCCCGTGCCGCTTCCGGTGCTCGTGAGGTTGGAGCGGCGGCTGAAGGGTTTCCCGCGCTCGCCCGTGTGCGGGCGCCGCTGGCCCACGAGCTCCGACTTGCGCACCAAGGGCCTCTCCGCAGAGCGCAGGCGCCGGTGCCGGCGAAGGGCTTGGCGGCCGCGGAGGGCGAAGGACCGCTCGCCCGGCCCCAGCTGCCGCGGAACGCGCTGCCGCAGTCGGCGCCGGCGATGGGTTTGGCGGCCGAGTGCGCGCGCCGGGGGCTGGGCAGGTTGGAGCGCCGGCTGGAGGCCCGGCCGCGCCGGGCGCACGCGTGGGGCTTCTCGCCCGGGTGCACGCGCGGGCGCTCCGCCCCGTAGGAGCCCGTGACGAAGGCCTGGCCGCGCCCCGGGCACTCGGAGGGCTTCCCGCCCGTGTGCGTGCGTCGGTGCCGCGCCGCCTGGTGCTTCGGGCCGAGGGCCTGCCGCAGTCCGGGCGGCGGAAGGGCTTCAGGCCGCTGTGTGTCCTCGGGCCGCACCGGGCGCGCGCGCAGGGTTCTCGCCGCTGTGGATGCGCCGCTGCCGGCCGAGGCTGGAGCTCCAGGCGAAGGCCTGGCCGCGCTCGGGGCACTTCTACGGCTTCTGGCCGGTGCCGCAGCAAGTAGGAGCTCTGGCTGAACGCCGTGCCGCCCTCCCCGCACCGGCAGCCCGGCCTCCCAGGCAGGGGAGAGGGCTGCGGCGCCCGGCCTCAAGGCTGGCTCCTGGGCCCGGCCCCGACCTGCCCACCGTCTGCGGGCTCCCGCTCCCTGCCGGGACCGCCCCGGTCGTGCACCGCCCCCAGCGTGGCTTGCTGCTGCTGACCATCCCCTGCCTCCTCCGGGACCTCCGTGCCGTCTTCCCAGGCCCCCCAGCCTCCAGACACAGCTCCCTCAGAGGAGCCCCCAGTGGCAGTCTTCACACCGCAGAGGTCCTGGACTTCTTCTGGGGCCACCTGCTGGGTCCACCCTCCTGGGGACTCCTTCTGTCACCTAAACAAAAGAGAAACGGTAAGTTCATAGAGAACACAAAGGCAGACAGCGCGCCTGAGGGGCTGGGGTACATGACGGTGGGTGGGCTGGTTGTCATGCCCTCACCCACTCTTCTCCATGGCCCTGGATGTCCCGTGCCCTCTGCGGCCTGGAGCAGGAAGACTAGCAGGCGGGCTAGACACTCAGGGGACAGGCCAGCATTCTGCGCCTCTCTGACAGTGCCACGTGCGCATCCCCACACCCGGCTCCGCAGGAGCAGGAGGGGCGCCAGGATCGCGGACGGACTCAGAGCCGTGTGTGTGCACGCTTGCACCGGCCCTCCTGGAGCGTCACTCTCTTCCACTTGCTTGAGGTTGGTGGAGGTGGGGGGGAGGGGGGGACTGTCAGGAAGGTGAGGACTCCAGTTTGTGAGGAAGATGATGGATCTGTCTCCATTCCGGAAGGCTGGAGGACATGCCGCACCCAAACCCAGCTGTGTCTGCCTCACCCACTCCCCGCTGGTCAGATCCCTGGGCGGTCCCCTCCACACAATATGACAATATGGACAGCACCGCCAGGCTGGGGAATCTCAGCAGCTGTTACCCAGGCAGTGGCCACACCAGGCCTCTGTGCGGGTCAGACCAGGTCCAGGGCATGGCGTGGCTGTGCGGCCCAGATCCCTGAGGGAGAGAGGCCGAGGGCGGGAGGGCGTCCTTGGTCCTGAGCCCATGCCTGCCTGTCCAGCCGTTCCCTCCCACAGTGAAGTCTCCACAGCGAGCAAAGCCCATCCCCATTTGCCCTGAGCACCTTACCATCCTTTGTGTAGCCTCCAGCCCCGCTGCCAAGACAGGGCAGGGCAGGGACAAGTGCGTGGATGGTGCCATACCTGGAGGTGGGGCCTGGAAGGGGCCCAGGGCAGCCTCGTGCTCCTCTACCTCCTCTGTCCTGGGGACCAGATCCTCTTGGAGGCTGAGAGTTGGGACCTGGAAACAGCAAGGCAGGAGGGCAGATCTGAGGGGAAAACAAGGGGCATGCAGTGGCATGGCCCACCCTTCTCTGCACCCGCAGTTCTCAGGACAGTGCAGAGCACACAGGTGTGGACTGGAGATCTCTGACTCTGCAGCCCAAGCCAGGACCACCAAACTCCCACCTGTCACTATCATTTTCCCACAGCCCCAGGCCCTCTCAGACACCAACCCCCTCCCGGTCCCAGTGCTGGCTCAGCTGGGGTTGTGAGAGAGGGAGACACACCCAGCCCCCAGCCCAGCCCCTCCTCACCTGGAGTCCCGGCTCAGCTGACTCCTGCTACAGCCCCTCCGGGCCACTGCTCCTGTGGTAGGCCTGGATCTCCAGGACCAGTGTGCCCAGTAACTGCTCCAGCACCGAGAGCTCCAGCATCTGCTCCTTGGCGCATGCCTTGGGCGTCAGCCACTGGCACCCAGCTCACACAGCTGGGCCAGGGTTCCTCACAGCCCTGCTGCCTCCTCGTAGCAGAACCCCCAGAAGCTCTGGCCAGAGGTCTTACAGCTGGGCTCACCCACCATCAGTGCGAGTCGACTCTGGAGGACCTGTGGGGCGAGGGCTGATGCCTTATGCATCTGGGCAGCCATCCTGCCCCTTCACTGGGAGGGAAGGGCAGCTGCTTGGCCCAAAGTACTTTCTCCAGAGCTGGAAACACAAAGGTGACGCTGTGAGCACAGCAAGGCCACGAAGGCCCCCTCCTCGGGACCAACTGAGACTGAGTAAAAATATAAGAATGGGAGTATCAGCACTTCAGGCCCCCAGGGTCAGCATCGTTGCCCACCTGGGCATCCAGGTGCCTGAGGGACACACTGAGGTGCCACGGCTGCTTGTACATCCCTGCGCCTCTCCCTGCTTTTCTTGAGGGTCCCTGCTCTGCCTTCTCTCCCTTCATCCCACACACAGACCACCTAAGGCAGCGATTGTAAACACGACACCCAGAGTCAGACCAGCAGATGGGTCCTGTTTGGCAGTCCCATCCAGGAAGTGTTTTAAAATTTTAAGTTGGCTGCCAGTGTCAACACTTAATCAGATGCTGGTGGGAGTGTAAAATGGTGTAGCCTATGTGGGAACAGTGGCAGTTTCTCAAAGGGTTAAATGTAGCGTTATCATATGACCCAGCAAGTCCACTCATAGAGAAATGAAAATATGTCCACACAAAACCTTGCACTTGGATATCATGGCAACCTTATTTATCATAGCCAAAATGGCCATCAGCTGATGAATGGACAAAATAAAACATGATCCATGTCTCCATACAATGGAATATAATTCAGCCATAAAAAGGAATGCCCACCCTGGTCAACATGGTGAAACCCCATCTCTTCTAAAAATACAAAAAATTAGCCAGGCGTAGTGGCTCGTGCCTGTAGTCCCAACTAGTTGGGAGGCTGAGACACAAAAATCACTTGAACCCAGGAAGCAGAGGTTGCAGTGGGCTGACATCGTGCCACTGCACTCCAGGCTGGGTGACAGAGTGAGACTCCTTCTCAAAAAAAAAAAAAAGAATAAAGTACAACAAGGTGGAAGAATCTTGAAAATATTATAAGTGTAAAAAGAAAACAAAAAAATGCTAAGTGAAAATTCAGACACAAAAGACTTCATATTATGTGATTCCATTTATATGAAATGTCCAGAACAGATAAGTCTATGAGACAGAATAGATTAGTGGTTGCCAGGATCTACAGGGAGAAGAGAAAAGAGAAAGGGGAGATACAGTTTCCTTGGGAGTGATGAAAATTTTCTGGATGGCCGGGCGCGGTGGCTCAAGCCTGTAATCCCAGCACTTTGGGAGGCCAAGGTGGGTGGATCACAAGGTCAAGAGATCGAGACCATCCTGGTCAACATGGTGAAACCCCGTCTCTACTAAAAACACAAAAAGTCAGCTGAGCATGGTGGCGCGTGCCTGTAATCCCAGCTACTCAGGAGGCTGAGTTAGGAGAATTGCCTGATCCCAGGAGTTGGAGGTTGCAGTGAGCCGAGATTGCGCCATTGCACTCCAGCCTCGGTAACAAGAGCGAAACTCCGTCTCCAAAAAAAAAAAAAAAGAAAATATTCTGGAATTAGTGGTGATGACTACACAACTCTGAATATACTAAAAACCACTGAATTACACATTTTAAAAGGACAAATTTTATGGTATTTAAATTATGTTATATATATATATATATATTTTTTTTTTTTTAAGAGACGGGGTCTTGCTGTGTTGCCCAGGCTGAAGTGAAGTGGCTTTTCACAGGCGTGATCCAATACTGATCAGCACAGGAGTTTTGACCTGCTCCATTTCCGACCTGGGCCGGTTCACCCCTCCTTAGACAACCTGCTGGTCCCCCGCTCCCGGGAGGTCACCATATTGATGCCGAACTTAGTGCGGACACCCGACCAGCATAGCACACTACAGCCCAGAATTCCTGGGCTCAAGCGGTCCTCCAGCCTCAGCGTCCCGAGTAGCTGGGACTACAGGCACGCGCCACCACGCCTGGCTAAATTTATGTTTTTTAAAAGTTACCACCCAGTCTCAAAAGCCTAAGAACTGTATGATTCTATTTACTTAACATTCTTTTTTTTTTTTTTTTTTTTTTTTTTTTTGAGACAGGGTCATCTGTCACCAGGCTGGAGTGCAGTGGTGTGATCTCATCTCCCAGGCTCAAGCCATCTTCCCACCGCAGCCTCCTGAGGAGTTGGGACACCAAGTATGTGCCACCATAAGCGGCTAATTTTTTATTTTTTGAGATGGAGTTTCGCTCTTACCCCCGGCTGCAGTGAAGTGGCACAATCTTGGCTCACTGCAACCTCTGCCCCCCAGGTTCAAATGATTCTCCTGCCTTCAGCCTCCCAAGTAGCTGGGATTACAGGCCCGTGCCACCACACCAGGCTAATTTTTGTTTTTATATTTTTAGTAGAGACAGGGTTTCACCGTGTTGTCCAGGCTGCTCTTCACCTCAGGTGATCCACCCACCTCGGCCTCCCAAAGTGCTAGGATGACAGTCCTGAGTCACTGCACCCGGCCTAATTTTTAAATTTTTGGTAGAGACAGGGTTTCGCCACGTTGCCCAGGATGGTCTCAAACTCCCAAGCTCAAGTCATCAGCCCACCTCAGCTTCTCAAAAGTTTTGGGACTATAGGCATGAGCCACCTCTCCCAACCTATGCAACCTTCTTGAAATGACAAGATTTTAGAAATGACGAATAGATTACTAGTTGACTGAAAAGGGTGAATGAGGGGCAGAGGTAGGAGGGAAGCATGTGCAGCTGTGAAATGGCAACTTGGGGATCCTGCGGTGATGGAAATGATCTGTGTCTTGGTTGTGATCTTGTACTCTAGTATTTCTTTCTCTTCTCTTCTCTTTTCTGACACAGCGTCTTGCTCTGTTGCCCAGGCTGGAGTGCAGTGGCGCAATCTGGGTTCACTGTGACCTCTGCCTTCTGGGTACAAAATTTAACCAGGCATGGTGGCTCGCGTGTATAAACTCAGCTGCTAGAGAGGCTGAGGCAGGAGACTCGCTTGAACCTGGGAGACAGAAGTTGCAATGCAACTGCCACTCCACCCTCCAGCCTAAGCAACAGAGCAAGACTCCACCTCAGGGGAAAAAAAAAAAAACAAAAAACAAAAAACCATAGACCAAGTGCTGTAAGCTAAAATAAATAAATGAATAGCTAGAGAGGGGATCTCACTATATGGCCCAAGCTGGTCTTGAACTCCTGGGCTTAAGTGATCCTCCTGCCTTGGCATCCTAAAATACTAGGATTACAGGCATGAGCCACCATCCCCCAGCCTCTATGAGCTTCTTGGTACCAATTTTTCCCAGTTTGCACTGGGGAGCCCCCACCCCAGCCCAGGTGGTTTGGGCAGATGTCGGCACATAGCCCAGGCCCACAGCACAGATCAGTCCATCACCCTGGTCCTGGTAATGGCCACTTTGAACCTGTGACCATTATAGGACTTCTCTCTGAACTATTAGGGCCTTTTCTTCTTTGAATCTGAGGCTGTGAGCATCTGTCAGCTGGGGCAGCTGCAGCCTTCTTGCCCCCATGAGGGATGAATCTGTCAGAGAATGGAGTCCATACAGAAAAGCAGAACTGAGGGATGATGTGTTAGTTTCCTGTGGTTATGCAGCAAATTACCACAAATTTGGAGGCTTAAAACAACAGAAATTTATTCTTTCATAGTTCTGGGGACCAGAAGTATGACATTGATATCACTGAGCTGAAACAAGATGTTGACAGGGCTGACCTCCCTCTGGAAGCTCTAATGTGGAACCTTTTCTTGCCATTTTCAGTACCTAGAGGTGCATTCCATGTATTCCTTGGCCTACAGTCCTTTCCTTCATCCTCAAATAACTGGTAACATCTTACTCTTAAAGTTAAAATATGTAACATACGTTCATTTTATCTCATTTGCATGAGTCAATTTTGGCTTAATTTTTTTTTCTTGGAATAGTCTCAAAGAACAAGAAAAGATATATAAATAATAATTTTTTTTTTCTTTTTGAGGCGGAGTCTTGCTCTGTTTCCCAGGCTGGAGTGCAGTGGCGCAATCTCGGCTCACTGCAACCTCCACCTCCGGTTTCAAGCAATTCTCCTGCCTCAGCTTCCCGGGTAGCTGGGATTACAGGCACTTAGCACCACACCCGGCTACTTTTTGTATTTTTTTTTTTTTTAGTAGAGACAAGGTTTTACCAGGCTGGTCTCGATCTTCTGACCTCGTGATCCAGCCGCCTCGGCCTCCCAAAGTGTTGGGATTACAGGCGTGAGCCACCGTGCCCAGCCCAGCTTAAAAATTTTTTTATCAAGGCCGGGCGCGGTGGCTCAAGCCTGTAATCCCAGCACTTTGGGAGGCCGAGGCGGGTGGATCACGAGGTCGAGAGATCGAGACCATCCTGGTCAACATGGTGAAACCCCGTCTCTACTAAAAATACAAAACATTAGCTGGGCATGGTGGCTCGTACCTGTAATCCCAGCTACTCAGGAGGCTGAGGCAGGAGAATTGCCTGAGCCCAGGAGGCGGAGGTTGCGGTGAGCCGAGATCGCGCCATTGCACTCCAGCCTGGGTAACAAGAGCGAAACTCCGTCTCAAAAAAAAAAAAAAAAAAAAAAAAAAAAATTTTTATCAGCCTGGGCAACATGGTGAACCTTATCTCTACAGAGAAATACAAAAATTAGCCAGATGTGGCTGTGTGTGCCAGCCAGCTACTCATGGGACTGAGGCCCTTGGAAACCCCAGTGAAGGCTCTGGCTTAGAGCTCACCCTTGCTCCTGCCCCTGACAGATGCTGGTGCTTTCTCATGTGTCCTTCCTCAGGGGCCGCACCTCCTGTTTCTAGGATCTATGAGCATAATGGATTTTGTTTTCCTGAGCTTGTCCTGTGTCTCCTCTTCGGGCCACCCCTGGCTAAGCAGCACATAAAAGCCAGAGAACACCAGGGGAGCTGCTGCTTGGGGAACTCCTGCAGGAAGAGTCCTGGGGGATGCGGTGGGGGGGAGGCAAGGACTGCGCTCCCTCTCCTGGAGGCTGGGGAGGGCTTCAAGGAGACTACAAGGTGGGAGGAATCCTGGGCAGGGCCTGCCTCATCAGGATGCTTTCCCCAGAAAAGGATTTAAGCCGCTGGTGGCTGAGTCCTGGATTAACCAAGACCTGGGCCTTCTGGGTGCTGTGGAGGACTGAGGACATTATGAGGTGATTTTCTCCCTGGGTGGATTCCCCAGGGGCTCCGAGGCCGGTTTCAGGCCCTGCCCTTTGGCTGCCCCACTGGAAGCTCTGAGCATCCAGACCTCAGAGGTGCTTTCCCTGGTCTGACCTTGGCAAGGGCAGATAAAGAGGTACCCCAGGGAGGGTCACCAATGTCTGGGGCCACAGAATGTAGTAAATGTCAATGGCCAGCTCAGCCAGTGTGCCTGCGGGGACCATCTAGGAATCTTCTGCTTCAGGGTCCCGGGCCACACTTGGGGAACTCAGTTGGAAGCAACAAGGCCCAGGCCCTGAGGGCCCAGCTCTGCCCTCTCAGGGGCTCTGGTTGAGCCATGTGTAAGCGTCCTCCTGGCCCTCGCAGCTGGTGTGAGGAGGAAATGCACACCAAAGGGCAGTGTCCTGGCACAGGTCTGTCCCTAGTCAGCCTTCCCGGGTCGGCCTCTGGAGTGGGAGCCTTGGGTCTGTTTGGATGTGGATGAAATGCAGGAAGAAATTGGGAGTCGCAGCCATGGACAGCCACTCATATAGCTGGGAAGAGGTGGACTCCCACCTCTGTGGTGCTGGGGGCATCATGCCAACAACTCTGGCACCCACTTTACTTACACTCACACCGCGGAGCTTTGGGGAGATGCACTTCAGCCTGGAGTGCGTCAGGGGAAAATGAGACCTCACTAGTCAGTCAGACGAGGGTAAACTTGCCAGGGCATCACACTCCACCTAAGGGAACCCTTTCTGCAGCGACTACTGAGCTGCCAGGGCCGGGACAGGCAGAAGCCTACCCGGAGGTCTCACCTCTGGAGGGTCACGAGCTGTGCCGGGCCGGCTACAGCAGAGGGTGTGCAAACACCCCGAGGTCCCAAGGCTCCTGAATCCGCCTAAGGGGCAATAAGAGGTCCTAGGTTCGAATCCTGCCTCCGCCGTCTTATGGTCGTGTCTCCGGAGAGTCGTTTTTCCCTGTTTCCTCACACACCAGAGAGCACAAGTAACACGCACCGTATCTCTGAGGAGAAAAAGACCCCAGAGATCGTGGACACAGTGCCCGAGCCACATCGCGCCCCGTAGAGATTATTACTGCTTTTGCCTGCAACTGGATGCTGCGTGCCCAGTTAGAAAAGGTTAAACAGGGCCGGGCGCGGTGGCTCACGCCTGTAATCCCAGCACTTTGGGAGCCCGAGGTGGGTGGATCACGAGGTCAAGAGATCGAGACCATCCTGGTCAACATGGTGAAACCCTGTCTCTACTAAAAATACAAAAAAGTAGCTGGGCGTGGTGGCGCATGCCTGTAATCCCAGCTACTCAGGAGGCTGAGGCAGGAGAATTGCCTGAACCCAGGAGGCGGAGGTTGCGCTGAGCCGAGATCGCACCATTGTACTCCAGCCTGGGTAACAAGAGCGAAACTCCGTCTCAAAAAGAAAAAGAAAAAAAAAAAGGTTAAACAAAACTTGAACAGTGCCAGCCTGTGGACACCATGTGTACAAAGTCAAGTTTAATCAAGGTCACAAACGTTTGTGGCGTTTCGGGGACAAAGGCCCCTCCTGGACGCGGGGTTCCCGTTGGCGACGCTCCCCTCCTGGCGGTCAAGGCGCCGCGCGGCCGCCGCGCCGCTTCTGGTGCTCCTGGAGGTTGGAGCGCTGGCTGAAGGCGCGGCCGCGCTCCCCGCACGCGTGGGGCCGCTCGCCCGTGTGCGTGCGCACGTGGCGCACCAGGCTGCAGTTGCGCACGAAGGCCCCGCCGCAGGCGCGGCAGATGTAGGGCTTCTCGCCCGAGGGCGGGCGCTCGTGCTGGCGCAGCTCGGAGCAGCCGCGGAAGGTCTGGCCGCACTCGGGGCAGCCGTAGGGCCGCTCGCCGGTGTGCGCGCGCTGGTGCTGCCCCAGGCCCGAGCGGCCCTTGAAGGCCTTTTCGCACAGTGGGCACGCGTAGGGCTTGGCGCCGCTGTGCGTGCGCCGGTGGCGGCTCAGGTTCGAGCGCTGGTTGAAGGCCTTGCCGCACTCGGGGCACGCGTAGGGCTTCTCGCCGGTGTGCACGCGCCGGTGCTCCGCGAGGTGGGAAAACAGGCCGAAGGCCTTCGCGCACTTCTTCCCGGCTCCCGACACCCGCCGGGGACCCCGCTCGCCGCGGTCCCCCCAGGGCGGGCGCTCTGGCCGGAGGGCGCGCCGGACCGTGACGGGGCAGCGGCGGTGGCGCTGCGCCCAGTGCGTCTTCTGGTGGCGGTGCAGGCCGGAGCAGCACACGAAGGCCTTGCCGCACTCGGCGCACTCGTAGGGCCGCTCGCCCGTGTGGGTGCGCTCGTGCTGCAGGAGGCTGGAGGTGTGCGGGAACGCCTTGCGTACAGTCGCTGGGCCGGGGGTTCGGGAACAGCCAGGCAAGGTCGCGAGGTTTGGTCGCACTCGGGACACACTGGGGGGCCTTTGCCCGGCTGCTGCTGGTTGGGGCGAAAGCGCTTCCCGCACCGGGCACACAGGCTGGACTCCTCCGTCGCCTGCAGCCGCTCTTGGGGGATCCGCGGGGCCCTCCAAGCAAAGGCCTCGCCGCACGCGCAAGCCCGGGGCTGCTCCACCGAGGGGCTTCTTCCGCCGGAGGTCGGAGCGCCAGTCCCCGGTTGGCACAGCCAGCAGTCCCTGTGGACCTCACACAGTTGAGTCCGAGCGTAGTTCCGGAGCCACTCCGGACAAGGGTCACACACGGGGGGCTTCTCCCCAGCGGGCGCCCCGCGATGCAGCGCCAGACAGGAGTTCCTGCTGCAGTCCCCAGCAGGCGCCCGGCTTCCACAGGGGCCCTCCCCAGCCTGCAACCCCTCGGGGGTAACTAAGTCAGGGTCCTGAGAATAGGCGGGGCCGCACGGCTCCTGCACTAGGGGTCTGGTCCCTGGGCTGGGGCTTACCCCGAGGATGCAGCCTCGGGAGCCCCCCACTGGGGGAGTCGTCATGCCACCCGCCGCTCCTCCAGGCAGGTCCGCCTTTTGAGTGGGGCGGCTCCCTGCTCGGTCTTCTTCGAGGGACCTCGGCTCCTCGGGCCTCTTCTCTCGGGCCCCGCAGACACCTCGGGCATCAGCCTTGGGGATTCCTCCCTGCCCAGCCCTGTGGGCTGGAGCCTCCATCCTGGGGCTGGCCCCTAGCGCAGAGTCCTGGCTGTAGGATCTGGACAGCAGGGAGAAATGGAGTTGGCAGTTCCCAGGAGAAGGGGAGAACTGGGACAAAGAGCGACCACCCCACAGCTGGCACTGCTGGGAGGCCCCGAGCTCTCTGCAGACTCGAAAGGGGAAATGGAGTCAGGGCCTCCTGCTCCTCTTCAAATTGTCAACACCCAGATCCCAGAAAACAGCTTCCGATGGTCTCCCTGCACATATCATTGCTCCTCCTCCACACTAGATCCTAAAATATTGTGCCCCTGGCTAAGGCCCTCCCTGGTCCCCCTTCCCCAAGCAACAGGGACTCCGGGTCCTCCTGGCTCTATTCACTGCCATTGTCCAGCTCTTCTGGGAGGTGTGATGTGGGACTCACCTGACAGCTGAGAGCCTGGCCAGGAGATCCTCACTGCAGAGGCCAAAGCTGGGCTGCCTCTCCCGTCTTCAACCAGGTAACCGTGGTTGTCTCGAGCCTGGCAGCCTCATCTACAAAATGGGTATGATAATGGTCAATGTAAACAGCTGAGCAGGGAGACAGGCAACCCAGATTATTGCAGCAAGTGTGGACATCAGCAAGGCCTGGTGCCTGCTATTACTATTTTAAAATTCTGCCTTGACTATATTAGGTACCTACTGCTGCTTTAAGAAACTGCCATCACCACAGTGGCTTGAGACAATGCAAACGTGTCATCTCACAGTTCTGGAGGTCAGAGGTCCTAAATGAAGGTTTCAGTAGTGTGGGTTCCTCCCGGAGGCTCTTGGGGAGGACATTTGCTTACCATCTCCAGCTTCTAGATGCCACCTGCTTTCCTTTCTTCCGTCTTCAAGCCAGCAGTGAGACATCTTCGTCTCTCACTTTCTGGGCGTGTCGTCTAATCTCCTTCTACTCCTTATAGGACTCGCATCCTTCTGCCTCTTGTGATCACACTCGGGCAGGAATCCCCCCATCTCAGGATCCATAACCTCATCACACTCAGTTCTTTTGCCTTGTGAAGCAACATATTCACAGGTTCTAGGGACCAGGACATGCACATCTTTTAGGAGGCCATTATTCTGCCTACAACAGTCGACTTTGCCAAGCTCTTCTCACCTTACAGGGAAAACACAGTACATGCATCAAGATGCCATTTAGGTGAAACACACGTTTAGCCTGGAGTTAGGAAGGATACACACTGAGCTCAGACCACTCCCACCTGGGCAGGGGCTCACTCGGCTGGGCTCAGTGGTGACTTGCATAGGGAGGACTCCAGTCTCGGGGCACTATGCATGGAGGGGTTGGGCAGAGGAGAAGGCCCACCTGGTAGGCGGACTGGTTACTTACAGGGAAATTGAACAAGTAGGTGAGAAGAATGAAGCTTATGAGAGCAAAGTTTTTCACTGTTGGAGAAAGAAGTGACAAAAGGGTAAAGGAAAGGCTACAGCAAACCCCGCAGCACAAACTGCAGACACGGTGAGTTTCTGATCTGCAGCCTGCACTGACGGTAGATACACACATGTGCATATGTAAATATTCGTCTCCTAAACTAGCAGTTCAATGGCCGAAAATAGAGGAGGAGTGTCGTGGACCGTCCGGACGGGTAGGCACGTCTGCCCGGGGGTCTCTCGACCTGCAAGAGGGTCCCAATACCTGGAAGAGGGAGTGCGCCTGAGAAAATAATAAAGACAGAGAGAGAGAAAGCGAGGCGTCTGGAGGGCTGATAGGCTGTGCCTAAACAGCAAATTTTATTTTTCAAAGGCCAGGAATAAATACACTTTCTTGGCTCTGGTTTACGTCATAGTAAGAGGAAAGTAAATGTATGCCTCACATGGCCTATACAATAGAGAAGTCAGATACACAATGGTTGCAAGAGGAAATGCAAATGTATACCTTACATGGCCTATACAATTGAAAAGTCAGATACACAATCAGTGGTTGTAAAAAGTAACAGAATTTCCTGTGATCACAAAGCTTGTTTGCATCCAGACATTATTCCTCCTGGCTGCAGGTGTCTCTGGTTTTGCTTATCAGAGTATCTTTTATCCGGATTCTCCTTTGTCTACTCCTAACTCAACTCAATTTCCCCATTCAGGAATCTCTGAGTCAGGAATTAAAGCCATCCCTTATGGTGGCATTTTGCTTTGCAAATATTGACAGTTAAACCATTATCTAAGGTGCAAGGCAGTCTGGAAAGTAAGGTTTAAGGATTATTCTTAAAGCCATAAAAAGGTTAAAAGCAGGAACCGGTTGCCGGCAGGGGGTCACTCGGTCTAGCAGCAACGCATAGTTTTAGGCCCAAACAATATTGTGGTTGATATTAGAAACTGATCATTCATCTTTCAGTTCCTATATTCCGGATAGCTCGACTGCCTCCAGTAGGAAACTGTGTTTGGGATCAAACTCACCGTATAGTGAGACTCACGCTTTTTAGGGGTCTCACACGGGAGTGTTCCCCAAAAAGCAGAGGACTTGCTTCTTGATCAGGAAACCCTTTAAATCAATGACAGTTACTGGGAGTCTGAGAACTGACTTATAAAATGTCCCATGGATAAGAAAGGGAATTTTCACCTGTAATCCCAGCACTTTGGGAGGCCGAAGTGGCTGGATCACTTGAGGTCAGGAGTTTGAGACCGGCTTGGCCAACATGGTGAAACCCCTCCTCTACTAAAAATATAAAAATTAGCCTGGTGTGTTGGAGGGTGCCTGTAATCCCAGCTACTCAGGAGGCTGGGGCAGGAGAATTGCTTGAACCCAGGAGGCGGAGGTTGCAGTGAGCTGAGATTATGCCATTGCACTCCAGCCTGGACAGCAGAGTGAGACTCCATCTCGGGAAAAAAAAAAAAAAAAAATTAGCCAGGCATGGTGGTGCATGCCTGTAGTCCCAGCTACTCAGAAGGCTGAAGCAGGAGAATCACTTGAACCTGTGAGGTGGAGGTTGCAGTGAGCCAGAATTGGGCCACTGCACTCCAGCCTGGGCAACAGAGCGAGACTCTTGTCTTAAAAAAACAGGCCGGGGGATGAGGGGTGGAATTTTCCTCACTGTGTTGTGATGCGAGGTCTCTCAGCCTCACACTACACAATCCTCCTGTCTCCTCTCTAGATCTCACTGCTTCCAGAACAAAGATGGACCTGTCCAGCACAGCCTTTGGACTATGAATCCCGACAGCTAACATCACATTCAGAGCACGAGATGGACACGCCTGTGGCGCCCTTGTAAATCACTGCTTCATTGAGCACAGGAGCCGAGATTATTCTCCTCTTGTTCTGTGTTCCTTTCTCTGTGGAAGGTAGATGTCCTTTTATTTATTTTACTTATTTTCAGTATTTATTTATTTATTTAGAGATGGAGTCTTTTTCTGTCGCCCAGGCTGCAGTGCAGTGGCAAGATTGCAGCTTACCACAGCCTCTGCCTGCCAGGTTCAAGCAATTCTGCTGCCTCAGCCTCCGGAGTAGCTGGGACCACAGGTGTGTGCTATCATGTCTGGCTAATTTTTTTCTATTTTTAGTAGAGACAGGGTTTCACCATGCTGGTCAGGGTGGTCTCAAACTCCTGACCTTGTGATGCGTCCACCTTGACCTCCCAAAGTGCTGGGATTACAGGCGTGAGCCACCATGCTCAGCCAGATATCCCTTTTTAAATTTTTTATTTTTTATTTTTATTTATTTATTTGAGGCAGAGTTTCACTCTGGTGGCCCAGGCTGGACTGCAGTGGCATGCCCTCAGCTCACTGCAATGTCCACCTCCCGGGTTCAAGCAATTCTTCTGCCTAAACCTTTCAAGTAGCTGGCATTATAGGCACCCGCCACCACACCCAGCTAAGTTTTGTATTTTTTTTTCAGTAGAGATGGAGTTTCACCATATTGGCCAGGCTGGTCTCAAAATCTTGAGCTCAGGTGATGCACCCGCCTTGGCCTCCCAAAGTGCTGGGATTACAGATGTGAACTACCATGCCCAGCTGATATTCCTTTATTAAATGTCTCAGAAATCTAAGTATTTACTAAGATGTCCTTGACCTGATGTCACTTTTTCTGTTTTGAAAAAATTTTTTTTTTTTGAGACAGAGTCTTGCTCCATCGCCAGGAGCCAGGCTGGAGTGCAGTGGCATGATCTTGGCTCACTGCAACCTCTGCCTCCCGGGTTCAAGCAATTCTCTTGCAAGTCCCGAGTAGCTGGGACTACAGGTGGGTGCCACCGCGTCCAGCTAATTTTTTTGTATTTTTAGTAGACACGGGGTTTCACCATGTTGGCCAGGATGGTCTCGATCTCTTGACCTCGTGATCTGCCTGCCTCAGCCTCCCAGTATGCTGGGTTTATAGGTGTGAGCCACTGTGCCCGGCTGTTTTGCAAATTTGTAACAGGCAGTTGCCCTGAGCCACCTAGTGGCCTGAAATAACTTATCCTGAGTTAAGTTCATTTAATTCAGGAAGCATTTAACCAAGACTACATGTCGACTTTCCAGCCAAGGGCACTTCAGAGCGACTGGCTTCAGTTCTTTGAAGGAAGCTATTACCAGTTGTCCCTGGTGGATTATTTTGTCCTTGGACATCATGACCACATGGCAGAAATGCACTGATGGCCAGCACTCTGGGGACGAATGTTTTTTTGTTTTTTTTTTTGTTTGTTTGTTTGTTTGTTTTGAGACGGAGTTTCACTCTTGTTACCCAGGCTGGCGTGCAATGGCGCGATCTCGGCTCACCGCAACCTCCGCCTCCTGGGTTCAGGCAATTCTCCTGCCTCAGCCTCCTGAGTAGCTGGGATTACAGGCACGCACCACCATGCCCAGCTAATTTTTTGTATCTTTAGTAGAGACGGGGTTTCACCATGTTGACCAGGATGGTCTCGATCTCTTGACCTCGTGATCCACCCACCTCGGCCTCCCAAAGTGCTGGGATTACAGGCTTGAGCCACCGCGCCCGGCGGGACGAATGTTTTTGAGTGGAAATTAAACATGCCAAACTGGTTAAAGACAAAAATGCAGAGTTGGACGAGTTCTGCAGGTCATGAAGGGCCTTTAAAGCAGAATTGGTTCCTGTTCTGCTCTACGGGAGGCTCCTGGGTGAGCTATAGAGCAGACAGGCCCAGTGCCAAGGGTTCAGCAAGTACTGGTTCCAGGCATTTGCTAATAAACCAGGGTGACACTAAGGACAAGGAGACTCTATTGTGATGTGGGGTTTCTCAGCCTCACTTGTCACATGTAATAGCTGCACAACCCTCCTGTCCCCTCCAGGCCTGTGTGAGACAGGGAAGGTGAGACTGCCCTTCCCTGGCTGCACCTTAAAGCCACTCAGGGTCTGGATTTTTCTGAAACTTCTGGAGCTGCATGCAGGCTCACAAAGGCACTGATCCTTCCTCAAGTCCTTGAGGGACTGATCTGTCCCTCGAGTGGCACTAATCAGGACTAATTCATAGAAAATCCGTCACCTTTCCCCCACTATGGGCTCTGCCACTTCGTGCTTTGGTCTCTCGACTATCAAATTAGCCAGCTGGAGCTTTGAACTCAAGGAGGCATGCTTGGAAGTTATGAGGATGTCTGGGTGGTGCTGAACACCAGCACGCTTTACCACATGGTCTGGACGGTGCACAGGGCTCCTAGAGTGACCTGTCACCTCCCAAGCAGGTAGAAGGCTGAAGAGAGAATGGGCACGCAGTTACAAACATCTCCTTCCCACTTATGGATCTGAGTCTGAGGCTGCTGCTTCCAGGTGAGGGGTTGGCTGGCTGCTGCTGTAGCTTGTTATGCTCTTTCTGCTCTGAAGTCTTGACCGTGCAGCTTCCAAAGCAGGATAGGGCACGTGGGGAGGCCAGCAGCCACGTGTCCCACCTGCCCATAGGCACTGACCATCCCAACAGCAGGTGGACATGAATCTAACCCACAACAGACACCAGAGTAGAGGGAGCTGGGTTCCCCAAGTCCGGATGGGGTTGTCACAGGCCCCCGCAGGGGAGGCAAGGGGAGCTTTCTCCAGAATGTGGAGTATGGACTCCTT